ATACCAATTATCCTCGTCTGGGGATGCTAACTATCCTGGTCAGGGAGTGCCAACTATTATGGTCAGAAGATGCCAACTATTCTAGTCAGGGATACCAACTATCCTGATCTGGGGATGCCAAGTATTTTGGTTGGGGTGCTATCTATTCTGGTCAGAGGCTGCAATTATTCTGGTCTGGGATACCAACTATTCTGGTCAGGGGGTGCCAACTATTCTGGTCTGGGATACCAACTATTCTGGTCAGGGGGTGCCAACTATTCTGGTCAGAAGATGCCAACTATTCTAGTCAGGGATACCAACTATCCTGATCTGGGGATGCCAAGTATTTTGGTTGGGGTTCTATCTATTCTGGTCAGAGGCTGCAATTATTCTGGTCTGGGATACCAACTATTCTGGTCAGGGAATGCCAACTATCCTGGTCAGGGAATGCCAACTATCCTGGTCAGGGGTGCCAACTAATCTGGCCAGGGATGCCAACTATTTTGGTCAGGGATACCAACTATTCTGGTCAGAAGATTCCAACTATTCTAGTCAGGGATACCAACTATCCTGGTCTGGGGATGCCAAGTATTTTGGTTGGGGTGCTATCTATTCTAGTCAGAGGCTGCAATTATTCTGGTCAGAGGATGCCAACTATTCTGGTCAGAGGATGCAAACTATTTTGGTCAGAGGATGCCAACTATTTTGGTTAGGGGTGGTATCTATTCTGTTCTGGTATGCCAACTATTCTGGTCAGGGAAGCAAACTACTCTGGTTAGAGAAGGCAAATTATTCTGGTCAGGGGATACCAACTATTCTGGTCAGAAGATGCCAACTATTCTAGTCAGGGATACCAACTATCCTGGTCTGGGGATGCCAAGTATTTTGGTTGCGGTGCTATCTATTCTGGTCAGAGGCTGCAATTATTCTGGTCAGAGGATGCCAACTATTCTGGTCAGGGATATCAACTATTCTGGTCAAGGAATGCCAACTATTTTGGTTAGGGGTGCTATCTATTCTGTTCAGGTATGCCAACAATTCTGGTCAGGGAAGCAAACTACTCTGGTTAGGAAAGGCAAATTATTCTGGTCAGGGAATACCAACTATTTTGGTCAGGAGATGCCAATTATTCTGGTCGGGGATGCCAAAAATTTGGTCAGGGGATGCCAACTATTCTGGTCGGGGATGCCAACTATTCTGCTCTGGGGATGCCAACTATTTTGGTCAGGGATACCAACTATTCTGGTCAGGGATACCAATTATTTTGGTCAGGGATACCAACTATTTTGGTCAGGGGGTGCCAACTATTTTAGTGGGGGTGCCAACTATTTTGGTTGGGGTGCTATCTATTCTGGTCAGAGGCTGCAAATCATTCTGGTCAGAGGATGCCAACTATCGTGCTCAGGGATACCAATTATCCTGGTCTGGGGATGCCAACTATCCTGGTCAGGGAGTGCCAACTATTCTGGTCAGGGATGCCAACTATTCTGGTCTGGGGATGCCAACTACTTTGGACAGGTATGCCAACAATTCTGGTCAGGGAAGAAAACTACTCTGGTTAGGAAAGGCAAATTATTCTGGTCAGGGAATACCAACTATTTTGGTCAGGGGATGCCAATTATTCTGGTCGGGGATGCCAACTATTTTGGTCAGGGATGCCAACTATTCTGGTCTGAGATACCAACTATTTTTGTCAGGGAATGCCAACTATCCTGGTCAGGGGGTGCCAACTATTCTGGTCAGGGATGCCAACTATTCTGGTCAGAAGATGCCAACTATTCTGGTCAGGGATACAAACTATTCTGGTCAGGGGATGCCAACTATTTTGGTTGGGGTGCTATCTATTCTGGTCAGAGGCTGCAAATTATTCTGGTCAGAGGGTGCCAACTAATCTGGTCAGGGATACCAATTATCCTGGTCTGGGGATGCTAACTATCCTGGTCAGGGATTGCCAACTATTCTGGTCAGAAGATGCCAACTATTCTAGTCAGGGATACCAACTATCCTGATCTGGGGATGCCAAGTATTTTGGTTGTGGTGCTATCTATTCTGGTCAGAGTCTGCAATTATTCTGGTCTGGGATACCAACTATTCTGGTCAGGGGGTGCCAACTATTCTGGTCAGGAATGCCAACTATTCTGGTCAGAAGATGCCAACTATTCTGGTCAGGGATACAAACTATTCTGGTCAGGGGATGCCAACTATTTTGGTTGGGGTGCTATCTATTCTGGTCAGAGGCTGCAAATTATTCTGGTCAGAGGGTGCCAACTAATCTGGTCAGGGATACCAATTATCCTGGTCTGGGGATGCTAACTATCCTGGTCAGGGAGTGCCAACTATTCTGGTCAGAAGATGCCAACTATTCTAGTCAGGGATACCAACTATCCTGATCTGGGGATGCCAAGTATTTTGGTTGGGGTGCTATCTATTCTGGTCAGAGGCTGCAATTATTCTGGTGAGAGGATGCCAACTATTCTGGTCAGGGATACCAACTATTCTGGTCATGGGATGCCAACTATTTTGATTAGGAGTGCTATCTATTCTGTTCAGGTACGCCAACAGTTCTGGTCAGGGAAGCAAACTACTCTGGTTAGGAAAGGCAAATTATTCTGGTCAGGGAATACCAACTGTTTTGGTCAGGGGATGCCAATTATTCTGGTCGGGGATGCCAACTATTTGGTCAGAGGATGCCAACTATTCTGGTCGGGGATGCCAACTATTTTGGTCAGGGAATGCCAACTATCCTGGTCAGGGGGTGCCAACTAATCTGGTCAGGGATGCCAACTATTTTGGTCAGGGGTACCAACTATTCTGGTCAGGGATACCAATTATTTTGGTCAGGGATACCAACTATTCTGGTCAGGGGGTGCCAACTATTTTAGTCGGGGGATGCCAACTATTTTGGTTGGGGTGCTATCTATTCTGGTCAGAGGCTGCAAATTATTCTGGTCAGAGGATGCCAACTATCGTGCTCAGGGATAACAATTATCCTGGTCTGGGGATGCCAACTATCCTGCTCAGGGAGTGCCAACTATCCTGGTCAGGGAGTGCCAACTATTCTGGTCAGGGATGCCAACTGTTCTGGTCTGGGGATGCCAACTATTTTGGTCAGGGATGCCAACTATTCTGGTCTGGGGATGCCAACTATTTTGGTCAGGTATGCCAACAATTCTGGTCAGGGAAGCAAACTACTCTGGTTAGGAAAGGCAAATTATTCTGGTCAGGGAATACCAACTATATTGGTCAGGGGATGCCAATTATTCTGGTCGGGGATGCCAACTATTTTGGTCAGGGATGCCAACTATTCTGGTCTGAGATACCAGCTATTTTTGTCAGGGAATGCCAACTATCCTGGTCAGGGGATGCTAACTATTTTGGTCAGAGATACCAACTATTCTGCTCAGGGAGTGCCAACTATTCTGGTCAGGGATGCCAACTATTTTGGTCAGGGGGTGCCAACTATTCTGGTCGGGGGGTGCCAACTATTTTATTCAGGGGATGACAACTATTTTGGTTGGGGTGCTATCTATTCTGGTCAGAGGCTGCAAATTATTCTGGTCAGAGGATGCCAAATATCCTGGTCAGGGATACCAATTATCCTGGTCTGGGGATGCCAACTATTCTGGTCAGAAGATACCAACTATTCTGGTCAGGGATACAAACTATTCTGGTCAGGGGACGCCAACTATTTTAGTTGGGGTGCTATCTATTCTGGTCAGAGGCTGCAAATTATTCTGGTCAGAGGGTGCCAACTATTCTGGTCAGGGATACCAACTATCCTGGTCTGGGCATGCCAATTATTCTGGTCGGGGATGCTAACTATTCTGGTCTGATATACCAACTATTCTGGTCGGGGATACCAACTATTCTGGTCTGGGGATGCCAACTATTTTGGTCAGGGATACCAACTATTTTGGTCAGGGATACCAACTATTCTGGTCAGGGGGTGCCAACTATTTTAGTCAGGGGGTGCCAACTATTTTGGTCGGGTGCTATCTATTCTGGTCAGAGGCTGCAAATTATTGTGGTCAGAGGATGCCAACTATTCTGGTCAGGGATACCAACTATCCTGGTCAGGGGATGCCAACTATTTTGGTTAAGGGGTGCTATCTATTCTGTTCAGGTATGCCAACTATTTTGGTCAGGGATACCAACTATCCTGGTCAGGGGATGCCAACTATTTTGGTTAAGGGGTGCTATCTATTCTGTTCAGGTATGCCAACTATTTTGGTCAGGGATACCAACTATCCTGGTTAGGGGGTGCCAACTATTTTGGTTGGGGTGCTATCTATTCTGGTCAGAGGCTGCAATTATTCTGGTCAGAGGGTGCCAATTATTCTGGTCAGGAGTGCAAACTACCCTAGTATGGGGATATCAATTATTCTGGTCAGGGAAGCAAACTACTCAGGTCAGGGAAGCAAACTACTCAGGTTAGGGAAAGCAAATTATTCTGGTCAGGGGATGCCAACTATTCTGGTCAGGGATACCAACTATCCTGGTCAGGGGATGCCAACTATTTTGGTTAAGGGGTGCTATCTATTCTGTTCAGGTATGCCAACTATTTTGGTCAGGGATACCAACTATCCTGGTCAGGGGATGCCAACTATTTTGGTTAAGGGGTGCTATCTATTCTGTTCAGGTATGCCAACTATTTTGGTCAGGGATACCAACTATCCTGGTCAGGGGGTGCCAACTATTTTAGTCAGGAGGTGCCAACTATTTTGGTTGGGGTGCTATCTATTCTGGTCAGAGGCTGCAATTATTCTGGTCAGAGGGTGCCAATTATTCTGGTCAGGAGTGCAAACTACCCTAGTATGGGGATATCAATTATTCTGGTCAGGGAAGCAAACTACTCAGGTCAGGGAAGCAAACTACTCAGGTTAGGGAAGGCAAATTATTCTGGTCAGGGGATGCCAACTATTGTGGTTTTCTTGGTTTATTTTGTAAACCATGTTCCATTTTATTTGATGTTCCTACATAGCCTGTGAGCGCGTAGTTTCCATAGCAGAACAGACAATCCAAACAGTATAATAAAATTAATTTATTGTAAAATCACTTCAAGTACAATTTATTACCATGTTAAGGTTTCCATTTTACTCGGTTATTGAAATCTACAAACAAAGGCATCTATAGCAGACTGGTTATAGTATATGTAAAAATCCAACCATTCAGTCAGCTTTTAAACTGACAATGCTGAGAAAAGCACCACCTAATCATCATAAAAGGGTTATAACTGAATCAATACTAAACAGTATAGAGCATCTTCAATGATGTAACTTACAATAAAAAGTATAAAATGTTGAAAGGCTAATTAATATGTATAGATATACATACATGCAATGCTTAAAGCACTGACATCATTTGAACAGAATTCATATGAATTTTACGGTTTACATTTTTCTATAAACTGTAAGCAGGTTGTACGCAATCACCAGAAATCTCATTTACTAATGGACTTTCTTTAACAATAACAAAAAACTATTGGAATGTCGCACTTTAAGATGAAAGGTTTATATAAAAATAACACACCATACATATATATCAGCACTCATTAATTTCAGCTGTGAAAACTAAAACCTATATTAATCATATACTTGAGAAGAGACTGTGTTTGGAGTAGGCATAATTTGGGTAGAAATAGCACCACTCATATATCTCTATATTTACTTAAGTATACCTGCTATGTCTTGAAACATCAATATCAGGATAGTGGAATGTACTCAACACTGATGATCAATAAGATAGGTGTCACACCACAGTGATCAATTACCATTATGTGTGCTCTCAAAACAACATAACTACTTTCTAACATGGCTGGCAACTTTAACAATTATTTCACAACAGGAGTTAATAAGTTATGTATATTTAATGCAGTTATTTTCCACTAATAAGTGAGACTGGTGATGAAAAACCAAGTATGGTTAATCCTACTGTGTTACTCTTGGCAATCAAATCAGTATTATGAAATATTAATGTTAGAAGTAACCAAATTATTTGTACATTGTTGCTATACACAGACTTTACTTTATACACATATTATCAAATAAAACAGATCACTGCTTCATAGGATTACGATATAGGACGGAATGATTAAAATCAATACATTTATTTATTTATTTTAAATTTACATCTCTAAAAATTTTATAAAAAAACAATTGTAATTATTTAAAAGAGAATGAAGAAAGCACTGACTGCAAATAAAAACCTGCACAATAATACTGTTGAGTCAAAAAAGGGAAAAGCCCAAAAGATAAATGGCTAGGGGTGAGAGGTCACATGAAAACCTGATGTGAAATCAAACTAGATTAAATAAGAAATATAAAAGTCAATTGGTCTCTTAGATCAAGTCAAAAATAGTTACAAAAATACAATCAATTGTAAAATTTACATTATAATTATTGATTTGCTATATTAGCATATTTTTTTTTTTTACAAATAAGTGAATTTGTTATGATTTTTGATCAGAAGGTAAAAGTACAATGTCCCTGGATGGAGGTAGATGAACGCCTACCCTACTCCCCTATAAGATGAAAATGGAACTGTCTTCCCACTCAGCACAATCCATTATACCAACTGTATAGGGTATGATGGGCCTTAGTAAGCACTGTAATTGGAAGCAACACTGGTTGGTCTTGGAGATAGTGCTCGCGGTGTACCAAAAGAAACACGACTACTGCTACGTGGACCTGAAATGACATACACCAAGTACATAACAATTAAGTAATCTCTAAATATGGTAACATTGTATGCAAAATGCATACCATATTTGGCAACATGCCTTCAAAACTAATTTACATAAAGATTACGCTGAATGTTGGTATATTGCTATAATTAAATCAACCAAGAATTGCAGATCAAATCTCATGGGAGTACATGTAATTTCAACACACATAATGCTGATAATAATAGAAATATTTACAGCAAACCAGGATGCTTAGTTTCAATCATGCAAATTATTCAACATATGTCATGTTGACAATACTTACTACCGACAGGACTGCTGGATCTAACAGGACTCATAGAACCATTAGCTACAGAGCTAGTCAGACGTCGTGGACTTGCAGATCGGCTACGAGGACTCAAAGCACGTGTTGGGCTACGGCTACGTCGAGGGCTCTACAGTGATATGGTAAAACAAATTTGTGAACAATAATTATATATTGCCAATTATTAATTTGAATTTTTTTAAAAATTAATGAATTATAATGAAATATTTTAATTAATAAATTTATTAATATTTTATGCAATCAATTTTATTTTCAGAAGAGCTAGTTGAGATAAATTACAAGGTCAAAGGTCAAGGAATCATCAGTCATTTACCAGACTAATTTGTTTCTAGTACATGATTTGCAGGTTTCAAGTGTGAGTAATATTTTGTTTGATTATATTAGTACATGATATGCACCATCAATGGTTCTTGTTTACCAAAATTTGTACAAAGTGACCTCACATTTCAAGGAGTTCGCTGTACTGTAAGTCAAACGTTACAAACAGTGGTATATTAAATGAATAATTGGATGATTATTTTAGTTATTTTATAATAACAGCTTCAAACAAATGGTGTATACTTATTATGTATTCACACAAAAATTGCATTTGAAAATAAACCCACAAATTAACTATTGAGATAGAGCAACTTCTTTATATGCAAATTAAATAAGACTTTGAATCACTGGAAAGGCATGCATGTTTATTATGATGTGTACTGACCAGTGCAAGAGATGCACCACGTCTGGTGACCGCTTCTCCTTTCAGCAACACTTTACCAGTAGTAGTATCAATCAAAGCGGGCCATATGAAGTGGCTAACCAGTGGTGCACTATACTCAGAATCATAACTACGTCGGTACCTTAACAAATCAAAATATGATATCATTATTAGTCCTACTAATCTACAAGATATGTAATCTCAGTTGTACCTCTCTCAAATTGACACAAACTAACTCTAGAGGGCAGTATTTTTGTTGTAAAAGATTTTTCTTACAGCCGAATGTTATTAGTCAAAATATTACATGATACAACCCATTTAAAGAACAAATCAAGTGATTGTGAACAAAATATGTTGTAGTAGTTTAATTATAAAATCATAGACAAGCAGTCTACAATATGAAAAGGGTGCATGTAACCATGACAATGCATATCACTGCTAATTATTGTTTTTTAAAGCGCGGTGGTCGTAGCGCAGCGCGTGTTGGAATTTCATGTAAATAAACAATGTATTTTACATGCATTGTATACGTTGCTATGAGTTCCATATCGAAGAGGACGCGGCACGACGACTGCCGCCCTTTAAGCATATGCTGGTGTTATGTAACATGCCTTAAAATTAATATATTGCAAGGTGTTAACAAATGTCATGGATTCAAATATTTTAAAAATTGTTTTAACAAAACATATTGATAAGACATTTTACATGCTAGTTTAGTTGAAATAAATTTAACTATCAACCTATTTAATGCCATTTAGTGCATTTATAGCAAAAGCAATCAGAATTTCACACTAATTTATTTTCACAAGAAATGTTTATATCAGATTTGAATCACGGTCAGTGTTTATTATGAATGTGTTCCTTATAATTCATAAATTAAATACATATTAATTTGTTTTTATATGCATCGTTTCTGTGGTGACAATATTGAAAACATCTACACACAGAATGCACCTCGATCACCAATTCAATCTCATTCATATATGTGTAGCTGAAGTTGGACTCCAAGATAATTCATGTACCTTTATTTGGGAATTTGTGAAAAATTCAAGCCATTAAAAATTGTATGTAATAGCACATAACCCAATAAACAAATATGAATGGTTTTAGTCAGATTGTAACTTTAATAATTTCAACAAATTATCACATGATAACCAAGGATTAAGCTTGACACAGTCAGACCAACTTCTACAACTCCTTCAAGTTATATTCAAGTAAATGTGCAATAATAACTTACTTGGAATCTTCAAAAACATCACCATCACATGCAGGTGCAATATCTACAGGGGACGGCAATGCAGACATAGACCAAGATACCTTGACACACTCGCGTATAAACAAAGTCAAGACACGGAAATCCATTTCTGGAGGGAAGCAAATGCTGGGATGTCTCTTCATAGCTCTCAACACATCCTGAGGAAAGTGAGAATGAATACAGAGATTTGTCACCAGGACTTGACACATAGGCCTTGGTAATGTTATTATCCCAACAATTCAGTATAACCTATAAAAACTGAGTCTAACACCTAAGAGACTGACAATTGACACCTCAGTTGAGTTTTTTCTGTATAGTCAAAAATCTGTAATTATTTGTTAGAGGCATTAAGCAATTGATGTGAAGACTATGATGATTGACTGACCTGTACAATGGTGTGTACATCTAATAGCTGACCATTCTTGTTGATATAGTTCTGTACAGCCTCTTCCAGTGTTTCTGGACCAGTATGTGTTGTACTTAGAGTAGCTCGTACTTTACTCTTGTACTGTCTGAATGCTATCTTAGTAGCATGGAATGACTCCTGTATGCAATAATAAAATAATTAAGTATAATTATAACACACCTAGTTATGACTGGTTAATCTGCAGTCACAAGACATTACAGAGTTTTACAGATAAATCAGTTAATTTCTCATTACCCATCCATTTGATTTGCACATGGTAACCTGGGCACTAAATATTGGTTGGGAGATATAAAATTGAAAATGGCTACCTACCTGGACACAAGCAAAGATTATTTCTTGGTTGAGTTTATGATCATCGCTGTGGTTACGCAAAATGTCCATTGCATCCATACGATCATGTGCAAACATATCACTGAATCTGGACAAAAGATTAGCTTGGCGTATACGCTGCACAACATCATTGCTAACAGATAATGGTTTGAGATTGATACGTGGACTTGGGGTGTACGGCAAGTAAACATCATCCAATCTGTAAAACATTGCAGTGCATTATGGGTTTAAAATATCTCATCTTCCCAGCATGTTAAAGTGTATTGTATATTTTAAAAAATACATGTGTAAATCCATAGAAAATATTCATTTATTTTCTGCTATACCTACCTTCCAGTCAAAATGGCTTTCTCCTCTCTTAGATATTCCACATCTTCACGTAGGCGTCTCATTTCTATTTCCAAATCGTCTATAATACCAGATTTACTTTTATACAGTCTCAGCTCAGTTTCAGTATCAGTTAATCTGTAAGAAATCATCAGCCACTATATTGACATCATCACCACCAATAAATCACTCACTCTCATTTCCCCGAACTGACAAATCACTGGTAGCAATAAATTACTTAAAGTGTGGCGGTCATTGCTCCATGCATGAGTGAGATACGAGTTTTATGTAAACAAAGATGGCAACTTTGACTGTTGCGCAGACCAACAAGTATAACAAGCAGCCTATCGGCTGAGATAGCTCCACTGTTAGCAATGCACATTGCAATTAAAGAACAGAAGATATCATTAGAAAATGAACAATATGTATAGTATCAAAGCAATCAGACTTGCTGTTTTCAACAAGCAGTCAAAAATATAACTTTTTTCCAAAAATTACAAAAATATTCATCAAAATTAGAGAATTGAAGATATCATCATGAAATGAACAAATCTAAGAGAGGTCTACCCAAGGTACATATACACCAAGTATCAAAGCATTCAGGCTTGTAGTTTTCAAGAAGAAGTCGAAAAAGTATAACATTGACATGAACGACGGACAACGACAACGACGGACAATCACTCATATGATAAGCTCCACTCGACAAAGACGACAGCAGAGCTAAAAAGTATGGACAAATTTGAGCCAGAAGGTCTGGGGGTGAAAAATAACCAAGCAACACAATACTATATATTTACCTTTGTTAAGAC